TAAATTGTTAACAGAACAGCGAGTGGGAAGGATAGTAAAGTAAAACAATTGCTAAGAGCTAGAAATGATAGAAAGTGATGGAGAGCCATGATCATCAAGCTTCCCTCCCTCCCCTGAAGGCACACGACATGATGATAATGTTGATGTACTGTTTAGCTGGATTTGGCACATCGTAACAAGTATTACGTTAACCCAGTGAGAATCGAATACTGTAGTTGTGGTCCAGGAAAATGGTTTACTAACCTCTGTGCTACAGCGGTGAACATATTTACGAGGCTTAGATTATTGTTACATAGACCGAAGGTTTACTGTAAACAGTGAGAATCGAACTCATTATACTAGTCTTCGAGACTACCATTTTATGAGGAGACCTTTTAGACAAAACATATTCATGAAAACATTATCATAAAAGTTAGGATAGGTTCTATTCTTTGAAATATGTTGATTTGAAACAATTGTAAACGATTTTGTGCAAACGTTCTTACTTCAATATTTTAGTTGTCTTTCATAAATGACTTCGGTGATATTAAAATATTTTCAGCATTTTTTGACAAAATCATTCAAGAAATAATTATTCAACCATCAAAATGTTTTCTATTACTTCCCATGGCGTTATATTACATCACAGATGTTTTTTTTTAATTCTGTTATAAACGAATGATTTTCATTTTCATTTTAATTCGAGGAATTTTTCGAATATCTTGAAATTGTTGGAACCATTGCTAAAAGAAAGATGTTTGTATTGAAGGAAGGTAAATGATGCTCTGAAAATGAAGATCTGAAGAATCAACCGCCTGGAGTATATATTTCTGCTCTAGTTCTCTGGTCTTTTATTGTGTGGCGTTCGCAACAATATGACGTACATTGTTATGCAGTAAAATCGCTATTCATCTTTCTTGCCCAGCAAATGTAGTCATTCAAACAGGCTAGTTGCTCTCTGTAACGTTGCACACTTTAATATTTAGAAGAAGACTTTAAACTCTTACAAAGACAAAACACTTAAATATTTTTCTCGTTCAATTCGGTTTAGGTTCACAAGTTAAAAGTTGAATCACGACATAATTTTTTTCGTTTTCTATTTTCATTGCCAGTGACAATTTTGTCCGCACTAAAATATGATTGTGTCGAATAAGAAGAGAAAAAACAAATGTTTAAACGCTGAATGAGGGTCATTTTGTTTAATTCATTTCGAGTCTCTTCTTTGTCTTCTTCAGACTTTTCTCAACTATATTTTATTGATAATGAATTTACCAAGCAATAAAAACCTGTATAAACTCTAGTCACTTCTAAAACTACAATAAAACAACCCCAGGTAGTGGTATATATATATATATATATATATATATATATATATATATATATATATATATATATATATATATATTGTGCCTCTCGATTCCTTGTGGAACATAAGCCCGCAACAACACCTCTCCAACAGAAGTGGTTCCGGGTGATCTTCTTCAGCGCCAAGTCTGTTTTGGTCGACCCACTTTTCGCTTCCCTTGTGGACAAGAGCAAGCCTGGTAACACTAGAAGCAGGCTTGCGGAGTGTGTGGCCGATACATCCCCATTTCGGTTCTTGATGTCAATCTCGATCGGTGCTTGACTGGTTCTGTCCAACAGTTGGTCATTGGTGACGACTTTCGGCCACCTGATATTGACGATGTTCCTGAGACATCGGTTGGTAATTGTCTGAAGTTTATGGGTCTTGGTCACCTGCCAGGTTTCAGAGCTGCAAAGTAGGACCGACGACGTTGGTGTTGAAGATCCGGATCTTGTTATAAAGAGGGTTAAAAATGTGTCGGACTTTGTTGATTCGGTAGTGGTAATGAGTTCTTTTTAAAGTACCAATCAGGAATAGATTGCTGCATTAGAAAGGTAAAGCAGTGGAAGTTTTAAAAGGAAAAGAGATAAAAAGCAACCAAATTTTCCAAACAGTTCTACTACAACTGTTACATTGGGAAAGAGAGAACTCCAAAATTAATGTTCCACGTATTAATTTCCCCACAGCTTACTTCTTTCGCATGAGTTGCTAAGTACATGCTTTTCACTCTTGTTCATTTTGTTTAAAACACAGAATAAAAGTAACACGATCTCATCCCAAAAACTGACAGAAAGAAAAGACATTAGCCGAAACGTCGTGAAAATTAATCAGAAAGAATAAATATATAATAGCACTATTTCGACACCAAAATTCACATAAAAACGAAAATAGCCAGAAACGTAACTGAAATAATCAACTTTGTTTAGAACGATATTTCATTTCCGGTCACAAGTAATCTCCCCTTACCGGATGTGGAAATTGTGTGCACTATATGAACACATGAATACAGTAAAGAGAGTAAGTAAACTGTCAACTATTACTCATAGAATGGACTAAACTGTTTCACTTCATTCTATTATCAGTATGAAGTTTGGTATGAATGATTTTTTTTTATTCTTATTAAAATTGTTCACCTATTTCAAGTGTATAATAGTAAACAGGATGTGAGTTTAGTGGCCAAAGAAAATGAAATCTCAAGTTCAAATTCTGGCCTCGTCTGCAAGAGGAATGACTTCATCAGTTCTACCCACACCCAGCTAGTAGGATAGACTGGTCCCTCAAGGCTTGGTTAACTGACAGTCTAGAAGAAATCTTCAAATTTAAAAATGGGTAGAAGGGAACGAGAAACAATTCTTATATTTACTAACAGGATAGTAATACACAGATAATAATATAAAAGAAGCCTGTGGAGAGCCATCATAGCCTACCTACTGACGGTACATGATATTTTAAAATTATAATAAAAATAATAATTTCTATAGTTTTCTCCATGAAGAAAAGTTTTCCCCCAGTCTCAAGTTTAATTTTTTTTTCTCTCTGTTTTATCGACACATTCTTTCTTCTTCCTTTAATCCTTTCATCCCTGTGTTCCTGAACAAGTTTAATCCGTCTGCCTGAACTCCTGAGTCAAACTTCGCAAATAATTGGTATGTAATGTTTCACAGTAGATATAAAAATAGGTACAAGTCATTACATAACGTTCAACCGGTTGCTGAGCATTAAGTCATTTTTCTCTACTACTGTTCAACCGGTGGCTGGACATTACGCCATTTTCCTCTACCACCGTTCAACCGGTGGCTGGACATTACATTTTTTTACTACTGTTCCTCTACCTACCACCGTTCAACCGGTGGTCAGGGCGCCATTTTCAAAGGGGCTTAATATATTTTCACCTTACCTTTCGATTTTAGTCTTCGTTTTTCAACCTTTCTTTTCTCATTCCTCATTGGCGCACCCGTTTCAGCTCTCATTGTCCTTTGCTCTCATCATTATGGTTGCCATTAGATTTAATGACACATCAATTAATTTCAAATTATAACTCGTCGTATTCAGATAATCTTTTCATTGTCCTCATTTCGTTTTCATTTGCTTTGAATTCTCGTTTTTTGTTGTTGTTTTTTCACTTTTGATGGATTTGTTTCTTTCTCTTCATCACCACTAAACGTATTTTGTTTTATATTCACCTTCAAATTTGTCTGATATTTTTTTCTTCAAAATACGCTATTGTACACACAAATAACGCACATCTAAATACAAATATATTTAATTAATTAATTATCTGGCACACTCCACACCGGTCTTTTGAATTGAGTAAAGATTTATCCCTTGTTACCGGTTTAAGATTCGGTTTCCGATTCTTTCTAAATTCTTCTCATTTTCTTTCACTCCTAGTAGCCACTTGTGTCTTAGTGGCATTATCGCCTTGCTTGGAATGAACTGATATAAAAAAAAATGTCGCCCTACCTCCAGTAACGATCGCTTTCGAGCGATGTTCCATGTCCCAATAATTATGCTCTTCTGCAAATTGAACGATTGCTCGTCTAAGGAAACGTATGGGTTTTTGTGGGCTACACCTCAAGTGATCTCGATTTCCTTCGGACAATTTCATGAACGCTACCCTTATTTTCAAGCCATACTTTTGGCTTGAATCATTTCTAATAGCGAGGGTCAATGAATGCACTTATTCATTTTGATAGATGTTTTGTTCAAATTCCCGTCTGTCCAAAGAGTCACTATTAGTACCCATCTATGAGATTGTAAACAGCCAATTTCCAACTCCCAGTTTCAAAAGCTATGTAATGTAAACACATGGCCTAGACTAGACTGCACTTCTTGTGAAAAACTACGCTTTTTTTTTAAATCACAAAGACATAAATTCTAAAAGAAAAAAAATTGTTTCTCCCTTCCATTTCGCAGCGTCATCAAACTAAATGATAAGTATCTTTAGGACCACATCTTAAAGAGAAATATATTACTTTATTGAAATCAAAGTTTAAAACATGAAAAAGTGCGAGAACTTTACTTATCTTATAAATGAGAACAGACAGTATCCCTTAGAAAAAGGGTGTGGCTTCTGTAAACAAAGATACATTTCACTTCCAAGCGTCGCTGCGAAATTAATGCCTTTTATCATTTTGGTCCACGTTATCAAAGATGGATTCTTATGGTTTGGCTAATAATCTATAATTATTTTGCCTTGTTATGTATAGCAGTCTGGCAAAATGGCGTCTGATGTGTAAGTGCGTCTGAACGAGAGGTTTGATATTAAATTTCTTTAATCAGAAAATTTAAACCATTGACATTCATCGATACATGTTGAATGTTTACGGAAACTTTTAATAGTGAGTTTAAGTACAGACAGTATCTAGTTTGACAGAAGTAGTGACAGCGATATCTATGAGAAGCCACGTCCCATGACTCTGTGCAGAACTGTCAAGGGCGACTTCATTATAGGCTTTTGTAGCTAATAACTTGCAATATCAAACGATTTGAGTATGCTCTATGTACCTGTCATAGCGTACGTGTCTGCGCTCACCCTAAAAGATAGCTAACTACCTAGCTATAGATATATATATATATATATATATATATATATATATATATATATAGATATATATATATATAGATAGATAGATAGATAGATATAAACAGACTGAGACAGATGATATGAACAAACTGAGATAGATAGATAGATAGATAGATAGATAGATAGATAGATAGATATAAACAGACTGAGACAGATATGAACAGACTGAGATAGATATGAAGATAGATAGATAGATAGATAGATAGATAGATAGATGAATAGATATAAACAGACTGAGACAGATAGATAGAACAGACTGAGATAGATAGATAGATAGATAGATAGATAGATAGATAGATAGATAGATAGATAGATGAAACAGACTGAGACAGATATGAACAGACTGAGATAGATAGATATGAAGATAGATGAGATAGATAGATAGATAGATAGATAGATAGACTGAGACAGATATGAACAGAGATAGATATGATGAGATAGATAGATAGATAGATAGATAGATAGATAGATAGATATAGATAGATAGATAGATAATCTGATTTAACATGCAAAAGGGTTGTTTCTCCGATCACTACAATCTTAGCCTTCTCAAGTCAACCATATATCTCCATAAACTGTCCCTCTTACGCTGTAACTCCCAACTACGAGTGGCTCTTCAGCCTTCTACGAGGCTAACATCTTTGTAAAAAAAAAATGTTAGGTTATTCGTTGTTTTACTCTGTCCCTCTTGTCTTGTTGAATAATTTCTTCACAGTTGAAGAAAGCCTTGAAGCGAGAGATGTGGTTCTACTAACGAATACCGTCAGAAAGGATAAATATTAAACAGACTAGTAAATAAAAAAAAAAAACATATGCTGCTAACAACCAGAAGGAGACAACTGAAATTTGTCAGGACATAATGAAGAAAAAAAGGTTTGGCCATTTTAACAAGCACACAGGGCATGTTGAGAGCAAGAGAAGCAAGTTAAAACCGCGAATAAACTACTTGACAGGCTTGAGTAAATGGATGTCATATTATGGAGAGTCTGTGCCCTGCAGGGATATATCACAGAGAGAGAGAATTCTTGAGATATTTTTGGACTCAAGAATTTGCATATAGATAAATAAAAGAAAGATAGACATTTTTTTTATTTACTTACATTACTGAACAATTTTATATCCACCAACATAAATCATCACCATCTTTTTCTTTTCCTTCTTCTTCTTGTTCTTCTTCTTCTTCTTCTTCTTCTTCATCATCATCATCAACTAACATATCTTATTATTATCTTCTACCCCTTCTTCTTCTCTCGTTCTTTCTTTTTCTTTTTCATCATTTTACTCTTTTTCATCATCATCATCATCATCATCTTTTTCATTCTTTTTTCTTCTTCTTCATCATCATCATCCATTTCTTTATGTTCTTCTTCTCTTGTTGATATTGCAATTACAGTAAAGAAAAGAGCACCTACCTTAGAATGCTTATAAACAAACATATTTCATATATTTTATGAGTTTATTGAGTTCGATCCTCACTAAGTGACCCACTACTCTTTCCTTGTGCCAGAGACTAAGTTAACTTTAATAAATAACTATATGCTTTGCCCCGGAATATATTTATCAAACCTGTTTATTCGTCAGTGTCACGAGTTTGTTCCTCACTACTGTCACCTTGTGTCTGACTTAGCGTTGTAAATAATTGTGGTTTTCTGTCCTACTAAGTGGATATGAAGGAAAGATTCCAAGTTTTCATCTTGTAACGTGCGTTTCAGTTTGTTAACAGAAGGGAATAACAGAATAGAATCTGACGAATAGTCCATTACTCTTGTCAGTCAACTTAGTGTAATGTTATTGTTATCAACACTAATAAGAACACAGTTTATATTAGGAAGTAGGTGTGTAGCTTGGGGGAGGGGAACTTTCTTCCAACGTATATTTCTTCCTCGCAAGCATGTGCCAGATTCTCTGTCTTTTTCCCTCTCGTGTAGATAGCTTATATATCTTTCCAACATCCACATGTGAATCGCAGCTGGGTCAACCACCCGTTTGCATGTTAGTAGCAGCTGCTAACATCCTGGGATGTGCGATTCTACACGATGACTATAGGTTACCTTCCAGGTCAACGCTGATTCACCTGACTTCTCTGATGGTCAGGTGTGACACTGAATACGAAATCTCCTTTTGCAGACATTGGTGACACTTCAGATAAACTTCTTTTAAAATAAAGGTTCCGTATTGAAATTAACTTTATTTCAGGCCCTCATACATTTCCTGATGTAAATTAATTACTATATTGATAATGGTCTCAATGAAATTAGCCGTTTCCTTATTAGAAAACATTCGGTATTAATTAACCAAACATTTAGCGCTACTGTTGGTTCAAATTTATAAAATATTTCTCTAAAAACAGTTTTTCAGGCAATTAGATTTCCCAAGTCTACTGAATGTTATCACTTTTTCCAGTTCCGAAGGGGACATTCTTCTTGCCTTACTTTTTGTTCAAAACAGTTAATGTCTTGATTATATGATTATTTTTCTTCTCTAGATGCATGTCCTAACCAATTTTGTTGTTGCTGCTGTTGGAAATTTTCAATTTCTTTTTTGTTTTGTTTGTTTTTATACGGAATCACCCCATGGAAGGCAGTAAAGCCACTAAGGCGCAAGTGGTTACAGATTGTGAAAGAATACAGAACAGAAACATTAATAATGAGCGAGAAGAGGAAAGAGTAATCAGGAGGACAGTTGATAATAAATGACATTGCATTTAAATTTTTGCAGATTAAAGTTAGCTGGAAAGCATGGAGCCGGAAGAGAGTTCCACAAGTGAGAAGTGCGAGAAATGAAGTTATTAGCATACAATTTACGGTTACATTGAGCCAGCTCAACTGTAAATTGATGAGATCTCGACGCCAATCTAGTAGTGGGCTTAAATTCAAAAAGTCTAGGTACCATAGCGAAGAGATCATCCAAACTATTGCCATAAAAGTATTTATAGAAAAGACACAGAAAGGCAATATTAAGGCAATGGGAACGTGACAGACACCGAGCCGCCGGGTCAGGACCGACAATATTGATGATCCTTTTTTGGATTTTATCAAGGAGCTCAAGGTAAATAGGAGCACCGGACCATATGTAGCAGCAATATGGACGAATGGTAGACATATAGTTATGTAAGATAGATTCTACAGAGAAAAATTATCTCACACGACACAGTGAACCAATTTTCCTAACAACTGACCTAGAAATGGATTTAATATAGTTTTCCACCTCATGTCAGCTGTGAATGTATAGCGAAGAAAACGGCGAAATACAAAATGCAAAATACTTGGCGTCCTCTCCCAGCTGTCGACAAATGAAAAACTGCTCGACCGACAAAAGCAGTTGGTGTTCTCGAATCGAGAGGAAAAAAAACTGATGTATTTTGGCTACCGCGTTCGTCGGCGAGTGAGCTATTTTTCTGACTGGTTACGTGCATTGGAATTTGTGAGATAGTAACTGCGAATCGAATTTTTGCCATTTCTTTCTGCCCCCGATATTCGAGTATGAACTTACAGTGATTTGTTCTCTGCGTTGTGGAATTAATCTGCGACAAACATTTCCTTTGCTTTCAGAACGTTAACCAGTCACTTTCCTGGAGGTTAGCATCAGCCATGACACTAATAGTTTAGATATTTTTTAATGAGTCGGACACCTTGCCTGACACCCGTATCAGAGTCTAGAGGGCGCTTTTTTAAGAATATGACTCGAGTTCTCAGGTAATTGTTTTGGTATTGTAGCATCTTATACTGTTGGCAAAAAAGTAACCCGTGCATAACCCAGACTGGGTTCAATTTTCTTCTTTCCTATACTAAATTTGTCGCATTTGAAATCCTCGCCATTCTCACGATAAAAAATTACATCTCTTTCTTCTCCAACGCTCTATCCTGGATACTAAGCACTAAATCAAACATTGATTTCTCCTGAAAAGGGGAACTCAGGTTCGAACCATGACGGAGTACACTTTTTTCATTATGTTTTCTCGACAGATGCAATAGACACTATTTAAAATAAAATTTAAAAAGAGACGTCAATTTTTGGAAAATGTTTTGTTACTTTTTAGCAATGAAATCAAAGGTGATTAGTTGCGTGTTTCTGATGATGATGATGATGATGATGATGGTGGTGGTGGTGGTGGTGAAGGTGGTTTCTCGCAGAGATAGTTAATAGTAACCTTAATGAAAATGGCGGGAATTTTAGAATTAAATGTCTCTCTGGGAACATCGACATCTATATGGACGGTAATGATGATGATAATGATAATGACACTAATAAAAGAAGCAACAAGGAGATAATCTTCGAGACAAACCAGCCAGAAATCTATTAGCGAAAGCGAAGTAATAAATAATGTGAATTGTCGAACAAATCAGAAGGTAATGAGGCCGATGGGAAAACGGAAACAAAGATAGATGAAAATTTGGAAAGTGAGGATAATCTTAAAAGACAAATATCTGTTCCCCGGAGGAAATAGTCAATTCTCTCCTTTGTGGAAAATAAAGACAAAATGAATTTAGGACATTTATCTCCCATTTCGTTCTGGCGCGAAATAAAGTTATTGTCCAAATTACCCTGGGACTATCAAGAAGGAATTGGTTACGATTTAAAAGCCGTGGCGTTTTAAGACGGGAAAATGAACGGAAAAGCGTTATCCCTAGAATGGAAATATTTGACCGTTAAGATATGAAAGTGTCTTTGAGAAAATAAACTTTATTTGAACATATTCTAGTTCACGTTAGATATTATTTAGATTGTTCGGAAGGAATTGAAACAGCGCGCTTGACTTTGAATTGTTGAAGTAGATAGACAGCGAAAGGAAACATAGTGATACGAACATACATAGCAAAAGAATGAGAAAGTGTGTGAGAGAGGCGATTCATTTGGCGATTGATTAAATAAGAGATAAAAATAAATTATTGAAAAAATAGATATATTCAGTTATTACTTTAAAGAAACATGAATTGTTCTTAAGCCTCCGTTCGTACTATAAGGTTTTTAAATTTTCAAACAGCCCAATTAAAATATAGATCATTTAGTTTTTACTTTTCTTAAACGCTTTATCCTGGATACTAAGCACTAGATCAAACGGTGATTTCTCCTGCAAAGGGGGACTCAGGTTCGAACCATGCCGGAGTGCACTTTTTTTCATTGTGTTTTCTTGACTGATGTAATAAACACTATTTAAAGTAAAATTTAAAAAGAGGCGTCGATTTCAATAAAATTAAAAAAGATGCGTCTAATGAAACACGAAGAAATAACGTTTGAAGTAATAAAAATACGCGTGTGTGTGTACATATATATATATATATATATATATATGTATAGCAATTTTCCAAGCGTGGCTCAGATGTGGCGCAAGGCCGAAAGTATGGGGCACCCAGTGAGGATCGAACTCATTACTCAGTCGTAAGTGTTCTAGCGAGATATATATATATATATATATGTGTGTGTGTGTGTGTGTAAGTGAAAGATGTCGATATTATATATATATATATATATATATATATATATATATATATATATAGTGCGATGGATAAATTGTCGTCTAAATTACGCAAGAATTAGGGTAACACTCGCGTCTCATTTTAACTGATAAATTTATCAAAATTTCATCAAAATATCTCGAAATACTAAAGAGTAAATTTATTCAATAAAATCGCTATTGGTTTCAGCCACGGCCTACAGACAACTTCGACATCTCCTGCAACTCTTCTGGACGGTCTCCTTGTTTAAGTTGTTGAATAGTTATAATCCTTGCCTCCTGTTCATCTTTGCTCAACTGCACCCCATCCATAATAATCAAGCGGGTTGCAGTCTGGGGAGTTAGATATAAGGGTTAATGTGATCGCAGAAATTGTTTGACAGTCCTGACTGTGTTCTCCTGTATGGTGCAGAGTCCTGTTGCCAGGCATAGGGTGTTAAAGCAGCCGTATTGACCCAAGCAGCACTACGTCTTCAAGGCACTTGATGTTGGTCTCCGATTTAAATCCCTGTGGGAAAAGGAATGAAGGCATAATGACGCCATCACTAGTGATCACTTCAAACACTATCGTAATCACCATTAGACTCATCCAACTCTTTCTGAATCCTCCGGATTGCGTCATGGTATTCTTTTTTTCACAGTCACTGCCAAACTGACCTACTGTACATCACAATCAAAAAATCAAAAACAAACAACGCGCATGAGCATAATTAAAAATATATAATTGCGACAATTTCCCCATCGCACCCTGTGTGTGTATATATATATATATGTATGTATATGCGTGTGTATGTGCGTTCGAGTATTTTTAGAGTTAATAAATCATATATATATATATATATATATATGTGTGTGTGTGTGTGTGTGTGTGTGTGTGTGTGTGTGTGTGTGTGTGTGTGTGTGTGTGTATATACATATATATATGTTGTGGATCCCGCGTGAAAAATAGGTATCCAATAAATGACAAACGCAAGTATTTAAGCTAAGAAATTAAATGTATTTACACAAAATACAAAAAAAGGTAATGCTGTTAGTAAAATCCAGGAACACGGTTAGTATCAAATACAGATAGATATATACAGTCTCGAAGTAGGACTTCCTTGGAGTCTACGTGCTTGTAACTGACTTCTACAAGAGGTTACTTCTCTCTATGGGACACTCACAGACGACTCATGTACGACTCTGGTACGACTCATCTTCTCTGCCTGACTGTGGCTATTTTATGGCAGCAGGACGAGTCCATTATATCCGAAAAGTGTGGACCGCATAACAATATATATATATATATATATATATATATATATATATATATATATATATATATATATAAGTTACTTATTATAAAAATAAAATTAATTTTAAATTGTTTTGATAACTTTTAATTGGTTCGTAATTTTTTTTCTTTATGTGTGTATAGTTTGTTTGATTTTGATATAAATTGGACATTGAAGTCAACACCCAACAGTCTGTTTCATGCTTATAGACAATTGTCAGAATGGACTGATGATTGGGTATAATCATGAAAGGGACTGTCGTCGCTGGGTGTTGATTTTAATGTCAAATTTTATATTTACATACGGTCTCTCCCTGATATTGAGCATTTTAACCCATAAATATAACATATCTTAAAATATATTTGATATATATATATATATATTAATCAATTCACCCCCAACCAAAGCGGTTAGTGTCACTAAGACGCAAAACAAGACCTGGGAAGGAATGTGAACTTGATTATAAGGAAGCCTATCTAATGCGGAAATACATATATAGAGAGAGATATGTCCGTGTGCCATGGAAGTATATGCAAGTTCGACCTATAGCAGGTTTGTAGATAAATATCTTCAAGCTAATTATTCCTTTCTCTCCCGACACGATCTGAAAACGCTGTCTGATTCACTGCCAGAGTAAGAAGTTCCTGTACAATAACTTGTCAGCCTCATCAAGGTGAAGTTGTCTTGAGATTTGGATATAATTGTTGTTATTTTCTTTTCCTTCATAATTTTTTAACCCAAAGTGCGTCATTGTCTGTGTGTAACCGATCAATATTGCATCTACCTTTGTCTGTTACTGCAGGATATTTTCTTGAAGGATATAACAAGACCTTGGATATTTTTTCAATTAGTTTGATACTCAAGTCGGAAGCATTATCAACGTAAATGTTAATTTGTCGAACGCATGACAAAAATATCTCCTTCCGCTCGTGATACTCTGACTTATCGCCTATGGAATGAAGAAAAACCGAAAGAAAGAAAGAAAAAAAATTCTATACAGAAATCAGATCAGAATTTCAACCGATATATAAGCAAGACCTTTTTATGAATTGCAGCATTTTATCATCTTATTACACGTATTCGCACTTTCAATGCTTTTTGGCTCTTCAAAAAGAAGGAAATAATCTGAGAGAGAGAGAGAGAGAGAGAGATTATTCTTGTCGTCTTTTCCATTGAAAGAAATCTTTGGTCTGATCGTTTCTGACACTAAAAAAATAATAATCCCAAGAATAAACAAAAGGACAGTCTGTAAGCTTTATGTACAGAAGCCCATAACTAACATCATATTATATATTTCAGATATGGAAGCTCTTAATCGTTATTCATTTTTCAATTTGACAGATTTTCTAATAAAGTGAATAATTCATAGAATAATGACAACAAAGTCCAGAGAACATTTGTAAAAAAATTGACATTTAAAAATAATCAATATAAAGTCTTTATTTTCAAATAGGCAACATTTACAAATAAGCAAGAAAATCAATTCTTATTTAAATTTTTCTTTAAATGAAAATTTATTCACGCAAATTTAGATGTTTCATTGGCGTAACAAACAAACAAAATATGATGGCGGTATTTTTTTTCTAACTTTCACACGAAATCATTCTGATAAATTGAGCAACGCCACTGACTATTGAAAGGGTTAAAGAGAAAGAAATGAATAAAAAGGCATCCATTTTTAGTCTGAGACTTGTAACTTCCGGTTCAGTTTTCCATCATCTGAGTCACCGACTGTATTTTCTCTTTTGTTTCTCACCAATTTATTTCGCGAGAAGTTTATTAATTATCTTTCGGCTATAAATTTACTTTAGTCCTTAGCGAACGTTGTTTATCAAAATGTTGTTTTTATGGACGCCAGAAAAGAAAGTTAGTAAAGATAATAAAAATGTCACTGACAAATAAGATAAAAGAAACGATAACATAATAAAAGAAACTACAAAAATGCTTTACATAAACTATGAGGATGCCCACCTATAATTTACAATAAGACCGAGATAGGCAGAGATTAAGTGAATAGCAGTAACCAGTGTTGTTTGATGACCACAATACGTTTTCTTCTTTGCACAAATGTTGGAGTTTGGATGCAGATATAGTCAAATAGATGAAGTGAATTTGTCTTCCTCATCATTAATTTACAGCATTTCTAGGCATTGACGATCAGATTATCAACCGTTCTCTCTCTCTCTATTTCTCTCTCTCTCTCTCTATATATATATATATATCTATCTCTATCTCTATCTCTATCTCTATCTCTCTATCCCTCTCTTTATTTTCAACGAATGCATTATTCCCTCCAAACTGCTCACCCCTAAGCTCGTCCTTGCATCGCTTAAGCAGTCACTTTATCAATGACATAAGTGACAATCTTGGGCTGATTTCCAAACATCAAATAACTCGCTAAACAGTGAATAATGCATGATATAGACTCACACCAAGTAATATACGCACACACAAACATAGATAGATAGATAGATAGATAGATAGATAGATAGATAGATAGATAGATAGATATGTGGAGTCACTGAACACCTTCACAAGATGGTCTTACTGAGGGTGAGGAGTCAACGATTACAGAGGACTGCTCACGCAGGTTTCTGTCATTTTTTTTTCTCTTTTCAGACCAGCATTTGACAGCACGAGGAATTTATTTACTCATTTTTTATACGAGCTTTTTGGACCTTACAAGGATCTTATTTAGATATTTTTCTGATAAGATTTTTTTTTTTGTTTTGTTTTTTGTTTTTTTGTTTGTTTTTTTTCCTTTGCTTTTTTTTCACTTTCTTTTAGTAGCGGGTGGATTTGTCTTAATTTTTGTTTTTACATTATAGCTTGTTTTTATTTTCGTATTTTTCTTTTTACATCGAACTTGTTTTTATTTCTGCCTGTTTTATTTTTTTTAATTTTGTATTGTGTTCTGCATTTTATTTTCGTTTCTGCTTATTGCCTTTGTTTGAACTTTGTGGCTGGAAAAAAAAGATAATTTTTTGCGTGTTTAGAGAAGACTTCACGATATTGCAAACCATAATCAGACCATCAAAGATTTATTTGGATCTGCCACTAAGGCAGATCCACAAGACAAAGAAAATGAGCCTGTCCTCCCCCCACCCACATCCAATCGACAAAACAAAATGAAAATAAATCCTCTAAAGGTGAGCTCTATAAGGGAAAAGATAATTTATCTACTCCCGTTATAGGGAAGAGTAAAGAAAAGAACATGGGAAAAGATAATAATCACTAGCATAGCGGCGGGCACAATCAGTGGTGTAACGGCTGGAGAATCGCCCTGTTTGGAGCCCCCCACCCCCACGAAATGCATAGTTAATGTGGCGGAGTTTGTCAAGAGATCCAAATAGTACGCTTATTCCGTTTACCGATGGCGGGCTTTTGGTAGACCTCGATGCACAAAAGCGCATTGCTAAAAGAACAGTGTCAGTCTTAGTGCTCGACAAGATCAAGCGCAAAATTCGTCACTGCACTAAAGGCACAGTGATGAAAGCTGATTTCCTTGGGGGGGTTAAACCTCAACAAATAATAAAAGGTCTAGGTTATTTCATGTGGGACCTACTCTTGCCCACACCAGAGGAATGTGTGGATGCAACGTCTCGTGATTTAATTACAAAATACTATATCACCCGCACAGAATACCGAGGATGGCGGAGGACCAATATGGTGCTATATGAGATCCCTGATTATACTCTAGGGGAGCACTTAGCGGTATATCTTATGCAGTATGACCAATTAGTGAATGTTATTCCAGAATATGAGACAGGTGATTGGGGTGTTGAATTGGTGGTAGACCGAGAAGTCTTTACTTTCATTCCCAACAGCTTGGGGATAGGGGGAAGGATTACCCCGTCATCATGACGTGGAGGAAACCAGCTTAGAGTGGCATCTGGGGGTGACAAATAAGGATATTGATCACCTGGATTAAACATTTGTCATTTAGTGTTAGGTTAGTGTAAGTCGTTTTTTTGTCCAAGATACTGGATTTAACTTAGCTAGGATTTGGATGGTCATCGGCCCCTTTATCTTTTTGCCCCTCATTTTTCTTTTTCTTTTCCTTATTCCTCTTCTTCTACCCATTTAGGTGACAGAGATTGCAGTTCTCTGGTTAAACTGGGAGATATTTTTATTTTCGAGTGTAAGATTTCGAAATTCTTATTGTGTCTATATGTGTGAGTGCTAGTGTGAGTGATTGTAGAACAGGTGCGTGGAAATCATTTTATTAATGCTGCAGTATTTTTTTCATCCAGTTAACTGTTATCTCTACCATGATTAGACTGTGGGGATGCCTGTTACTAACATTAGTTTTGTTTAGTTATGTAGATAGTTATTTCATCATGAACATTGGTGATATATATTCTTAGATTTTTGCAACTCAGATCTCCACATAATCTGTACATATGAGATTAGGTAGAAATTCTTAGAGTAAATGTTGCAATGTAATGTGGATGAGATGTTTTGGCGAAAGGAACAATGTACGTATGATTAGGTCAGTAAGTGAGGCTAGCTAAGTTAGCAACAAGACAGGTGAAGACCAACCTCCCTACCATCCTTACATTTCCTACGTGGCTCATTTGTACATTTGTACAGTAAATACCGAACAGTTACCGATTAGATTTTGTTAAAACTCTACTAATTGGTCATAAAGGAAACCAGACAAAACTTATGCCTACGAACAGAGTCTCGTTTGGGGAAGTAGACAGCTGCCCGACACAGTTTATGCGGGGTCTATGAGGAATTTTTGCCCAAGCGTAAGCACTCGGAAAAAAAGAATATTAAAAATTGGCTTTGTGCCACATCCCATTTTTATGGTGAGATTTCGCGTAAATACCGAGGAGTTAACGATTAACTGTTTAATACATTAATCTGTATTAATCTGTATTAATCTCAAGCGTTTATCATATCATTCATCAGAATAAACTCCTTATTTTCTATATGTGTGTCAATCTTTCCTATTTACGACACAACATTTGGCGACGAGGGAATCGACTGTTAAACATTCCAAAATTCCAGTGGGATACCAACATTTGACAACGAAAGTTTCGAGTGTAAAAATTTCCAGTGCCATACCAACACTGTGTGAGGATTCGGGTTTAAAGAAATTTACAGTCATATACCAAGCAATTGTTGGCGACGACTTTACCTTGGATTAAGTCCAAGTCTGCAGACCAAATTGACGTGTTAAAAACAAGTAAGAATATTATTTGTTGAGTAGATTAAACATGGTGGATTTAAAAGAAGCAATGGTGGAATTCAGGAAAACCCAACACAAATAAAATGAACAGTTGGAGGAACAACGACACTTCGACCAGGAACGCCCCGAAAAACAAAACGAACGGTTTGAAAAATAAATCTTTGTTGTCTGTGGACAGATTCATTATAACAAGGAACGTCGATTTAGAAGGAAAGAATGCTTTAATTGTGGTAAAAAAAAGTAACATAAGCATACGCATTGCAGAAAACCTAAAACTAAAAAGGGGTCAAAAATTAAAAATACAGTTAGCTTAACTAAAATAGAAAACAAAGAAATAAAAAGAAAAAGAAAGTTTTTAAATGTACAGATGAACAAGAAAAATATTAAGTTCCAATTGGATTCCAGTTCAGATCTGACAGTGATAAATGAACAAACTTGGAAAAAAAGGACCAATTTTATTGACGATGAAAAGAATTGCTCATGGCATTATAGGAAATAAACTAAATTTTGAAGGAGATATTTTCACAAATGTGACATTTACTGGTAAAATTATAAAATTAAAAGGATTTTTTATGCAACGAACCCAGAACCTGTTCGGTATGGATTGGATTGGATTGAGTCATTCGATCTTTTCAAGCAACCAATTAATTCGTTCTTCTATAGAGTTAGCGTTAATTCAAACATTATGGAAAATTTTGAAAAAAAAGATAAATTTTCCTGAAACTTTTTTCTGGGGGTCTTGGCAGATGCACAAAAGCTAAAGCGACATTCAAACATAAAGAGAATGTGACACATATTTGGCTGAAAGGAAAAGTATCTTTTGCAGTTGGAGCCTCCATTAGTAAAGAATTAGACCGCTTAGAGCAAATAAGCTTGTTGAGCAAAACGAACTACAATGAGTGGGAAAGCCCTAGCGCTTTTTAAAAAGAAAAATAATAAAATTACGGTCCGCTCAGATTCTTCTACGGGATTAGACAATTGTTTGAAAACATAATTACTCTCTGTCAAGTCCTGAAGTCATATCCGCGAAATTAAATGACGGGAAGGTGTTTTCAAAACTTCGGATTCCTTTCGACGAAAAAGAGCGACATATTTAACTATAAATACGCATAAGGGTCTGTATAGATTCAACAGACTGCCATTCGGGATAAATGTTGCACCAAAAAATCATGGACACGATATTGAAAGACGTTGACTTCGCAATAACCTACCTTGAAGGCATCTTAATTAAGAATGAAAGCCGAGAACAAAATGCCAAATATGTTAAAGGAGTTTTTGAAAAATAAAACAATACGGCTTGAAACTTAGTTTGGATAAATGTGAATATTTTTATCTAAAATTAAGTATTTGGGACAAGTTATAGATGCGAAAGACAACCTGACAACCAGATCCATCGAGGTCGATTGCGATAAAGAACATGCCTCTCCCCACGCATGAAATGTGTCAGCGCTACAAGCATTCTTGGGTCTAGCAAATTACTACGGTAATTTTATCCTAAATATGCCAAACACTTTGGTACGGGAAGCGAAAAGTGAGGATTCAAATTGTGATCCTCTATCCGTGATGATGGAAGTTGGAACACCAAATCTGCTGAGCCGACCAGTTATAAGTCCCTATGCAACTGATTGCTCACTGATATCAGTAGGTGGAATTATTTCAGACCAACTATCATTACAGGAGCAGATATGAATATTCGTGACGGGGAGGGAATGGTCTGGTAATGTCGATATGGACATGGAAAAATCTAGTATCAGGAACAGGAAAATGTAGTTTGCTAATTTAGTGTTTCTCATTATTTTGGCTTTTTGACATGATACACAATAACGTTTCTAAATCCCTTGTACTCTTGTTGACTTCAGGCCAGATATAATTTTTACTAATTAACCTGAATATAGTTTTTTATACCTGAATGTGATATTGAGTTCAGAGTGTCAAATAGTTTTCTCTGAAAAGTTTTCGGAATAAAAATCCGAAAATTGCCTGTAGAAATGTCGCACCAAATGTAATGTTTCACTTGTGGAATATATATTCCATTCATTTGTAATGAAGAATTATTGTCCTCCAGAAGAGATTTTAGATCTTCATCATTTTCTGAGAAGGTGCAATAGTTTCAAAATCGATGACTGAACTTATATTAATTGTAGAAATATTCCTGGCGAGTGTGTCTGCGAGAATGTTTGCACAGCCTTTGATATGTCGAATATCAGTTGTAAATTTACTGATGAAACCGAGGTGCCCCGAGGAGAATAGATATCTGATTTCGCCTTGGTTGCTCCAATTAAATGTTTATGGTCTATGAGCACGTGAAATGATCTACCTTCCAAGAAATGTCGGGTGTCGGATGGCACAGTACACTGTTATTAACTCTTGCCCGAAATTGCTGTACCGAGTAGCGGTTTCTGATAATTTCTTTGAGAAAAAAAACATGGGTAACCATTCATCTGATTCATGCTGTTGTAAGACTTCTCCAATGGCAAAAATCGAAGCATCTACTGCTTCAGTATTGGGATAAGTGAGGTTATTAACATTGGCTATCTTTTCCTTTACCACATTAAAGGCTGACAGTCTCTTCTTTAGAAAGATTTATATCACAGTTCTTTTTCTTTTGTCCTTGAAGAACATTTGTCAATAGAGAAACTCTTTCTGCCAAGTTGGGAATAGATTTCCTATAAAAATTCAAAGAATTTGCGTAAATTTTATAAAGTTTAAGGAACCGGGAAACAGCGAATAGGTTCGATTCTTTCAGGTAATGTTTTGGTACCATTTTAATCAATGTTATTACCTAAAAAGTCAACTTCGGACAATCCAATTTTACATTTAATTGGATTCACTACATCATATTTTCGAAATCCTTCAAAAACATCTTGTAAATTCAGTTTTATTATGTTTTCTGATGAAGACCTGTAAATAAGCACGTCATCGATGTAGCATAAAACTGAATATAGTCCTTGAAGAACTTTGTTTATAAATATTTAAAAGGATTGGGCTGCATTTCGTAGTCCAAACGATAATCGTAAAGATCCGTAAAGCCCAAATGGCATCGTAATGGCTGTCTTCTTTATGTTAGAGTCCTCTATGAGTATCTGATGGTAGGCTCGGATGAGGTCAAGTTTTGAAAAGATTTTACTTCCATCTAGTTGGTTGGTATATTCTTGTATATTAAAAATTGGGTACTTATCAGGAAGAGTAATCACTCTCGGTTTGTGGTAATCACCACAGGGTCTCCATGAGGATGACTTCTGTTTTGCTATCATGTGTAGAGGTGAAGGCCAATCACTTTTCTAAGGGAGAATTACTCCGAGGATTGCTAAGTGATGGAATTCCTGTTTGACAATCTTGAATTTATCAGGGGCAAGTCGACGGGGTCTTGAGCAGACAGGTGGACCAGTTGTTTCAATATAGTGTCATGTTTTCTCACAGGGGTATTGAATTTTGGTTCGGTTATGTCTTGATAATTGGACAATATTTCCGAAAATTTTAAATTTTCTTCTGCTGCTGCAACTTTCCGACTAGGAAGTGTTGCAGACTTTAGACAGCCAATAGATTTTGACTTCAGTCTTTGTGTCAATCAATTGTTGTCTTTTAAGGTCGATTAGGAGAGCATAATGGTGCAAAAACTCTGCACCCAGTATTGGTGTATTGATGTCGGCCACGATGAAAATCCATTGGAAATCACATCGTAGCGACAAATTAAGTGTCATCCATTTATGACCATATGTGTGGATAATCGAAGCATTTACCGCTCGTAATGTGAGTTTTCACAGGTCTTTAATTTGTCTGACCGAGAAGCTTGGATTAACGATATTTGTGCTCCACTATCTATCAGAAATATTGTTTTGCAATGCCGACTTTAACCCAGGAAGAAACCTCTGTGGAACAATTCTCAATAGGAAGGTTAAGAATATCAATCAATGGGGCGTCTCAAAGGAAGTCACAAAATGAATCCCAATCTGTACGCTGGTAACAGAAAGAAGTCTTGTGAATAGGGGTTTCCTTTTTAATAGATGACACAAAAGAAATATCAACAGATACTATTATGTGATCCGAATTGCCAAGTGAACATAGTTGTGATGCACTTCAAGAGCTAGGAGAGGAAATAAGGAATAAATCAAGAGTGTTGAACATATTTATTAGGGATACACGTAGAAAAATCCGCTTTTTGACTGAGAGAGTGAAAAAGTCGTATATATATATATATATATATATATATACGCATTTGTATAGACAGTACATACATGCATATAACTATATATGAGTATGCAGGCGCATATATATATATATATATATATATATATATATATATATATATATATATATATATATATATAGAGAGAGAGAGAGAGAGAGAAAGAGAGATTTTTGTTTATAGGTTATATAAAAGTGTGAGTTTCAGTGTGGTTGGAGTACGTGTGTGTTAGTTATACATGCGTATATGTGTGTGTTAGTCATACATGCGTATATGCCTATAAGTGAATAGCCTGTTATTTGTGGAGATATGTATACATGTATATTTGACCTGAGCAGAAAAGGCGGGTATATGTGCTTTATTTATGCATATATTTACTTATTCGCTTTCTGGAGTCGACACTAACTTTTCTCCTCTCAGCTGTTGACTTTAACCTATTAGCCGACAGAGATTTATAAGAACCGCTGAAACGGCTTATAAATAAAATAATTCTTTCCATTCTTTCAACCAGCAGCCAAGTCCGTCCTTTCTGGGCTTGCAAGAAAAGAAACAGGAGATGGTGGTGAGAAGTTCAATCAGGTAAACGTCGTTGTAACAGCAAACATGCAGTTAAGAGCAATGGAGAAGTTTCGTCGATAATTCTAGTCGATTTACCGAGGACTGGTGTTTGGTGGAAGGAAGAGAGTTAACTGCCCCTGACACAATAGTCTCGAGGGTGGAAGCGGTGTGGTTCTCGTTGATGGATTGAATTTGTTTTTCCTGTCGAAGTCCATTCTGCGGTATTTGTTATCAAGACCGGACAAATGGTACGACATGTCGGTCATTTCTTTTGCCCAGCATGTTCACACTTTTCGGTAAAATTAAATCTGCCAAATGCTTACTCATCAAAAAAAGGCACGTCATCGTCTTCTTTTATGTGTCGCATCCTTTCAGGACGTAGGCGATCAAGGCTCTCCACGAATTTATATCCCTTCTAGCAGTAAGCAACGCTTGATCTCTCAATATCCCTTTAGCTCCCTTTTATTCTATCCATTTAGAGAAGCTTGTTACTCACTGCTTCTCTTTGCTTCTTTTGCCTTCAATAGGTTATGTGAGTGTTAGATTCTCCAAACCCACTTTCCTCATTATATGTTCCAGAAATATTAGCTGTCAGTTTCTGATCCTAAGCAAAGGTTTAAGTTTTTTTACGTTGTAAACGTTGTTTACGTTCCCATTTTTCTTAAAACCTATTCGTTGTTCACATGTTGTGCCTATGGTATTCTTATGTAGAACCACATTTCTGAGGCCTAATGTTTCCTCTTTATTCATAAGGAAACCATGCAGCTTTCACAGGAAAATATACGTTACATAACAGTTGAACGCTCTTAGGTATGTTTCCAATGATTTTCCCGTGTCTTAATATTCTACTTAGTTTCTGAAAGACATCTTTCGCTCTGTCTATGCGTCTTCAGGTTTCTGTGCTATGTACGCTGTGGCCTCCGTTCTTCATCAGGTGTATGTCAATCCGTTTGACTTACAGGGAATTTTCGAACTCAACCCTTTATTACGAGGGTAGCTTGTTCTGCTTCCACTGTTCATGTCAAGGGATGTTCGCGTCTGGTTCTTATTACCCGCTCTGACAGACACGCCCACAGAACACAAGGTACAATTCTTATGTTTTACTCTCTCTCTTTCTCTTTCACTCTCTCTCTCTCACACACACACACACACACACACACACGCACAGACACAAGCACGTACACACACACAGACATACACTGAAGTTTGTATAAAATAGAAATGGTGATATCATGCGTCATGATATTTGCAAATATGACCGTGGTTGACACCCAAATTGTAAATGCTTCGTTTTACGATTTTTACAACCCCTTCTTATATGGAGGAGTGGGTAAATAAAGCCATTTTACCCTCCAGCCGTTCAACCTAAACTTAGTACATCTTAGGGAACTTCACAATCGGTTAACAGTAAGTTCATATCTGAGTGTTCCAGTTATAGCCTTGTTCTCAAGTTGGACAAGTCAAACAATTTTAACACGTGTTCACATCTGGAAAAATGGGAACATCTGTAGTTGTTGATTGGTTGTATGCTGAACTCGCAAGCCACATCCTATATTAAATTATACAAAGAAAGAAAGAAAGAAAGAAAGAAAGAAAGAAATAAAGAAGAAAGAAAGAAAGAAAGAAAGAAAGAAAGAAAGAAAGAAAGAAAGAAAATATAAACGTAGACCAATGGCTGTTTACGGCATTTAACATTAATGATTTTAAGGAAGCATGTACATTACAACTTTAGCTTATGTAAGTAAACAAGTTGGTATGTAGACAGGCCAAGAGGCTTCTCACCTGGTTAAAAGCAATAAAAAGAATTGTTTGTTCAACAGAAAAGTAAATTTATTCGTTAAAAGCCAGCCTCGAAACTATTTTAAAAGCCAGCTGTCAACAGCGATCTACGTGGTTGCTTTTTTGTGTCGTATCATTTGCAAAAACTGGCAAAGAACGGTATTTATTTTGAATTCCCACAGATTCCAAATATGACACAAGGCCTTTTTTTCATAGAAAACAATATCTTTGTTCTTCAAATATCTCTCTGGTCACGGAACCTCTTTACACAGACGTGAAATCATTTTGGAAGTCTTCCACGAAAGAATAAAAAAAGCAATTCAATGATCTAGGCCAAGGTAACAACAGTAGGACATCCAGTGAGAAGCAAACTTACAGGAAGTTTTTATCGGCCTGCAAGACTAAATTGTTAACCATCATTCAATAGAAAGTGCGTGCAGATATTTACTAAGTTTCATTTAATTTGACGCAGAATCAAATTTCAGAAGAATCTATGAGTAATAAATTCCTTACAGCTATCTACGAGATTTGTTAAACATTGATATACAGTTGGCGCTTAAAATTGGTAGGTTTGATTCCTACTAGTTTTTTAATGCTTCGCTAAACTCATTAACTTACTTTTTTCCATAATAATATAAAAAATACCAGAAAAACTTCAAAATTTATATCCGCACTAAAAGAGAAAAAACATGGCTGTCTTTCGAGGAATTTGATATAATGAGTGCAAAATATCAATTTGTAATAAGAGAAAATAAAATGATAATATTTTTAAAAGAAATCTCTCTTTTGCTGTTTGTTTAAAAAATGACATTTAAATGCAGCGTCTTCTACTAATTTTTTTAATCAAAAAATGATGTTGTTAATATATGTAAAACCTTTTTCTTATTACGCATCTGTATTTGCGTTCGGTAAACGACTTCTGTGAATGATGATTAAATAGTTTAACGATGTCTGCAGCTAAATTTGACACCTATAATACTACTAATATTATTTATATTACTAATAATACTAATAATAGTATGGTAGGACAAACGGTAAAATAACAGAAAATACGTCTAGAAGAAACAATCTATTTTCTCAACTTTCATCTAGAGGGCGTGCCTGGTTATAAAAATAAGATTCTATGACATTTAAAAGGTTGCGTGTTATGTGCATTGTAGGTGAGGGTGCTCATATGTAAACATTTAAAGAAGAATCATACAAAACTTGGGTTTCTACCACGGACCGTTTATCTTGTTTTTTTATATAAACTATAGAGTAACAAAGTTCTCAATTTCTCTTGGGCATGTCTGTTTTCTTTTTGGGTCTAGGAGTTAGGGTAAGTAAGGATAAGCATTGTATTAATGGTCGAGCTCAAGTCAGACTTGCACTGTGTTGGAACGACCAAAGAAAAGGTTGTACTTGCTTTATCATTAAAAGGTTTAAACATGGTTATGGGATATCCGTTTTGTTTTTCTTGGTCCAGCAGTTATGATAAGTAAATATAAGCATAGTTATAATGATGGTACTAAAGTCAGCCTGAGCTGGAACGACCAAAAAAAGGACCGATTTACTTCATAGGTGGAGCTTTTGGAAGACATACGCAAACGCCATGCGTTGGAAAGTGGTAAGAAAATTAGTGGTCAGTGGGCCGAACGTTCATCATTTTTTTATTATTCATTATTATTTTATTTATTTCATTTACCATAATTCCTACACCTGCCATTTCGAACATGTGTGACACTATTTAGGGTTGCGAGAAAGAAAAGAAAAAAAAGAAAAGAAAAGGCGAGAATTAAATTTAGGTGATAAGAAGACATCACGAAAAGGACACTAAGCGATGTTATTTTTTTTTAACAAAGAAAAGTGGAAAAATTTTATTTTCATTATCGAGGAAAGTAAGACACTGGATTTAATTTGATTTATGACGACGCACTGAATAGACGATAGCCGTCTGCCATGGCAACGACAATGGAAATTTCAAATTGGTCGGGTGGCCTACGGGACAGAGTGCTGAGAGATAATATTAATTATGCACGCACTGACCGAAACCAAAATGTCCGTTGGACCACCCAGAGTACAAAGAAGGACAGATTAAACCCTTAACTATCTGCGGAGGTATCATTTGAGAAAAGCACCTGTTTTGTGTCGGAGCTGGCCATGATAAAAAAAATTATTTTATCAGAACGAATAATTGGCTGTAGCGTCCAGGTCGCCAGATGACCACCCACTTGATGCTGGCGAAAAGTCTCGATTGATAAAGTCCAGGTGATTCGGTTAAGATAAGAGTCTAAGGCTTGTTGTCGGGCAGAAGAAAGGAAAGAAAAGAAAAAGAAAAAAAAGGAAGATTTTTTTTTCTTTGAGCAAGATTTTTTAAACCGAGGCTAGTCTATTGGCTGAATGGTGGCGTGAGCGGTAGGCGAAGGTAATCATGTGAAGAAGAAGGAGGGGAGGCCTGTTGACGCCCCCTGAAGGGATCGGTATGAGATGCCACTGTGAGAGAGAGGGGAAACCCGCTGACGCCTCTGAAGGGATGGGTATGAGATACCCATATGAGAAAATAAGAATGTGGGAAGACGATTCCCTACCCTAGAAAGTAAAGACTTCCAAAAATGGAAATCAATAAATCTTCCTGACCGAAAACAAAGAAAAACCCTTAATGTGGATTTAGAATTATCAAGGAATCTCAAACCCCGACAGCCCCACCCCCGGTTTTGGTCGGCGTCCATATAAGCAGAATCGCAACGAGTAAGAAGGCAGTTCGCAGTGAAGTTTTCAGTTGGGGTTGAAGAGACAAGCAGTTGCAGTGAGCTGAGAGCTCGCAGACGCCTCACAGAAAGCTGACTAAGATTCCACGCAATTCTCGACCTCAACTTCTAACCAAGAACAATTTACTTTTGAAGAACGACTTAGACTCACACCACCAAAACAAGTGTTACGAATATCGCCTGAAGATACACCAAGAACCCGTTTCTTAAAGAACAAACAACTTAAGATGTTAAGACTCGCTTAACAAACAAAAGTGTCACGATCCATATAAGCGGGTTGTGAGGAAGACGCAGACCTGTATTCAGCAACCAGATATAAAATATTGTTATCCTTTTTTAACACATTTCAACTTTTCGAGTTATTACTTTATTTTCGTTTACATATACTTGGTTAGAACGTCACATTTGGTGCCGCGACCAATACCAAGTCACATTGGTCGTCACAGGACAGGATAGGACGGCGACGGCGCGGAGACTGACGGGCTGACGTCACAATTGGCGCCGCGACCAAGACAGCACGGCGGGCGCGGACCAGGCAGACGTCACATTTGGCGCAGCGACACAGGGGGACGTCACACATGTTACAGGCAGAAAATTTATACCGTAACATGTGACAGTTATACATAAGAAGAGATTATTTGACGAATATTTTAATCACAGATTTTCCATGCATTGAAAATAAATTCGCGAAATTTGATTTTAACTTTTGTTCGTACAACCACCATACATATCAGTGGGCTCAGTTAAGAAGTTGTTCTTGCAACTTATCTGGGAAGCACAGACTCTACTTTATTGGCCACGATATCTGTATCGGACGTAGAAAAATCTATCTAATATTTCCACGGCGTAATTTACATTGTATGAAAGACGAGTTAATTTCTATATTTTCAGCATATAAGAAAATAAAATTACGTCCTCTGTTAGAACACTTCTCAGATAATTAAATTTCTGTACTTGCTTAATTTTGGTATCCCCGATTTGTACTTTCTATGTCGGGTTGTTCCTTTTGCTGACAACCACACATTCTGTCTTCTTAGTTGGTGACTAATGGAATTAAATTAACATGTCAGTTTCCAATAGTTATGAATTTCTTTTATCTGCTGGGGGTACGAATGAAATGCTATACCCGATTTTTTTTCTTCTTTTTTCAGTTTTTGTTTTTATCAAGCATTTTTCAATATTAGCCTCTTTTTCGGGCAAAGCCACAAAAAATCTGACAACTGATTTGAAAGAAAAGCTATAAAAAAATACAGGTCGTGTTGAGCTAAAATCCGTCCTTTTGATATACCGTTACTTTAGGGTGGGGAGTGGGTGTACGAATGTTAAATTTTTTCGTTTTTATTAGACTCTTTTTCAAATCTCTAAACCAATATTTTCGCAATGTACTCATAGAAATCTATCTAACAAACGAAATAAGAATGTATAACGATTCCAGTTAAAAAGCGAATGCTCCAATATTTACCTATGACGAAAAATTTTTTTTTTCTTAATTGATATTCAACTGTGACCTTTTTTTTTTTTTCTACCAAATTACATTTTTCTCTTTTTACGATTAGGAAACGTGTTTTTATTCGGTTCTTTTTTCCTCTGGCGTTTAATGGCTGTAACGCCCATTGCTTCATTGAAAACCAGGTTATTAATCCCTAATGTTTCTTGTCAGCCGGCCCATTTTAGATGATTGCGAGATAAAAACTTACAGAGAAATAATTTGTGTGAAAGCGGGATTTTGCTATCATAAAAATGCAGACTGAATAACCCTCAGACATTGTTGCTTCTTTTTCACGTTGGGTTTTTTTCTTTCTCATTGTTATCGTCTGCTATCTCAAAACGCAGCGTGCGTATATAATTTTATAGTTCTTTCTTAACGTTCCTGAATTCTTTCTGTCAAGAGGAGGGTCCAAGCTAACAGACAGTGACCACCCTGAGCGTGTTCTTATGGGTATCAAACTGAAGCCTATGGCGTAGGTACGTGACGGCCTCTAGGTTTCAGTCATTACAATGATAGGGTCATATAATGGCCTTCTTCTAATGGCCTTTTTATGGCGCCGGTTAGTGTTGAATTACGAGTCGTAATGAATGTGCTTAAAATTAACGGGAAATGTCCTCTTCTTCACGCCATTAGCGTCAACCGGAAACTGAACAACAGATA